AAATTTTGTAAACATAGCTCCATTGGCTTATGGCATTTACTTTTACTGGCGAAATGACTGGCAGCCTAAATCTCTTTTAAGTAAAAGTTCCCCTTATTTGGTGCTTTTAAACTTTTATTCTTAAAATTCATTTATTTTACCAGGAGAATTCTGCAAGTGTGTGCTTTTTTTCTCCTGAGTATTCTGCCCCAGTACTTGTCAGAGCCCATTAGATAACAAAGATTCAAGACAGTATTCAACAGTAGGAAGTTATCTTTTTTTCCTTCTCCCACCCGTTTTTTTTAAATTTAATTTTTTTCATTTATGTTCTTTGCTTTTTCTTGTTGTGGAAATCCTTTTTTACAGATATTGAATATCTTGGCCACCTCCTCATCTCTAATCTTTCCGTGATTTGTGGCTTCAGATTTACTGTACATTATGGAGACATTTCTTAAGTTGGTTTTCTAAATCACTAATTGGTTGTATATTTTCCTACTCAATACCTCCATTTGCTTATTTTAACAGTTTTTTCTTTTTTCCCTTCCCCCAAACACATAATCTCTTTTTTTTCTTTTCTTTTTTTTTTTTTTTTCAGAGCAGCTTGCTCTTTTTAAAAATGCTATTCCTCCCCGGTCTCAGTAGAAATGCTATTTATATTTTTTCCTTCAAGTTCCAGCATTTGTTCTTCATTCATTCTTCAGTTTAGGTCATTAGTTGTAATTAAATTATTGTTTCTCTTCAGTATATCTGGTCAGGCTCTTTCATCAGTTCTTGTGCTGGGTTATTCTGAGGGCGATAAATGGGCTCCTCAGAATGCATGCTCAGGGAGAGAGGAAGGACTCTTAATGAATGTAGTTGTCCAGTGGTGGGTGGATTGCCTAAAGTAATTAGAGGAGGGAGGAGCCTGGTGTTTCTTTCATTACCTACAGAAGTTCATGCAGACTTTTTTAGTTGTATGACACACTGAGATAGCTGGAGCATCAATAAATAGTAATTAATTATATTACCTTGGATAGAATATAAAAGATTATATAAAATGGTGCTTTTTAATTACTTTCATTTGGGGGCTCATTTGGAGTTCATTGTGGTGTTGGCAAGTTATACACCCTGAGTTTTAAACAAAGAACTCCAGATAGTGTCAGTGCCCTCTTTGTTTATTTGGACATTAGTTGATAATTGTTACCAGCAAGCACCTGTGAACTGGTATTGTATGAAACACTTATCCTCTGTTGAAGATTGAGCTATCCTGTACCAATCACCAAGTTTTACAAGATACCCAGGGGACCTTGATGTAAAAATTGCTGATTTTCTGATATCCACCTTGTTTTTCTTCAGCAACTCTGTTTCTCAAATGGCTAATATCTGTACTGGTTATCTCAGAGGAGAGTTTCCCAAGACCCATGAACCATTTTTTCATTCCATCCATAATATTTTTCTTTATTTCAAAAGTACAGGCTATATTGCTTACCTTACTTGGTTAAGTAGTTGATATGATCCTATCCTGTTACTTTTTATAACCTGCCTTTCCCCCTTTGGTTAGAAATAGAATGGAAATTCTGATTTATGTTGAAGAGGGAAATACATGAGAAATTTTAATCTGTGTTTTGGTTTTGTGATTAAATCACAAGCTAAAAACCAGGCATGTAGAGCCGTAGTATAAAAGAAACATTGTGGGAAGCAGAAAGACCTTCCTAGCCTTGGAGCATTACAGCTCCAAATGAAGACACAAACATATGAAAAGAAAAAAACAGGGTTTAGATAGCCTATAAGAAATTTTATTTTACAAAATACTTGCATAGACAGTGCTTTGCCCATGACAGAAAACTTGAGGCAGTTGACATTTATTTAAAACTGGGGAGTGATATATGTGAATTCTGAGGATGAGAAAACGGGAAACCAAAGCTCCCTAAGGGCAGGTACTGTGTTCACCACTGCCTACTCAGTGCCTGCCATTGTCCCTGGTAGGTGGCTGGCTCTCAGTTAATGTGTGTTAAATAAGCGAATATGTGTTTGTTGAACACATTGAAGAATGCTTTAAAGAAGATAATTTATTTGGGCAGAGGTGAAATGCAAAGGTTTGAAAAAAATATTAGGAGGTAGGAATGATGACCGAATATATTAGAATACCAACCTGACTGGAGCTGTGAGAATGAGCAGGAAAGCTCTGTGAAATACGGCTGATTATAAGCAGCGTTGATTGCTGGCCTTAGGAATTTGGAATTTGTTTTTTAAACAAAGTAGACTTTTTCTAAACAGATAGATGGTAGCATTATTTTAAAGCAGTGTTTTGGGAATACAGCCTGAAGACACAGTGCAGGTTGCAGTGAGGAAGTCAGGGAGACAAGCTTCAAGAACAGTTGTAATGTTGGATAGGATAGTAAAATTATTAATATTTCTTTCTATGTAATATATTACATAAAAGTGCTTTTTAAGCTCTAGTGATTGAACATAATGACCGGGCTGTCTTTTTTAGTATTTATTTAATTTTCCATGGCATTTGGTTATTGATCTTCATGGCTTTTCTATGAGCTCATGGTACAAATTTTGAATACATTTGTTCTTCCCTTATTTGCCTTTTGTTAATGTCAAGCATAGCATATGAGACATTCCTTGTTGCTATGCAACTGCTAAATTCAATATTTAATATTAATAAAACTGAGTAGTATTAAATTCAGTTAACAGAGGGTGGCTTTACAGTGTCGAATCAATATTTTTTGTATGGTTTAATATATTGTTGCAGATATGAGCAAAAGGAGTGACTTGTTTACAGTTATTATTTTGATTAAAATTAGTTATGGTTGAATCTTTGCATTCATTTATGACCAGATTTTTTCTTGTTTGATTTATTTTGGTCTTTCCCTTTCACTGTTTTTTGACCTGTGATTTGGTTTTTGTTGCCTGTGTGTTATTGATGAAGTTCTTATTCTATTTTCTTAGTCTTTCAGATTCTATTATCCTTTGTAATTTTTAAAATTTTATCTTCCCAAGCTTTTATTTGCTTTTTTCTTTCCTAGTATTATTTCTTTCTGTATTTACATTTTTCCTTTTCAGGAATTTATGCTTGGCATGCAAATTTGGAATTTGTTATAAGGTCTTTAAACCCAGATGAAAGCATACTGGATTTGCTCTTCAGGATAAGAGCCACCTGTAATCTCCTTTAGCTGTTTGCAATGTGTACTTGCTACTTTCAAGATATTGAAATACTTTCATTAGTATTTGTGAAATCAGTTCCTTTTTCGGGGGAGTAGGAGGGCTTTAGAGTTGGAGGCAGCCTATGGGATTTTTTTTTTTTTTAACGCTAGTGTTGAGAATGTCTAGTTTGCAGAGATACATTCAGTATCTAGCAATTCCTTTTCATTCACGCAACCACCACCTCCCCACCCTCAAAACCCCCAGCCCAACCCTATCTCCTCCCTAGTGTGGGGAAGAAAGACCCTTGTAATTTAATGGAAAATGTTTTAATTATAGTAGGTAAATAATAAACAGGCATAGATACCTACCATTTGCTTGAATGGGTAGTTGGATTTTGCTAATGTTTTGGAATAATTTTGATGGGAAGAACTAAGAGAGTTCCTAATATTAAATGGAAAATCTAGAAAATAGCATAGAAATATGGACTCTCTACTGTGTAAATAACACAGACGCCAGAGATTAGTCTATTGAAAATGATGGCCTAATACTAGGGGCAAAGAAATCCCTAAAATTACAATGTTATTCTTATAACCAGGAAAAAATACTGTTTCTAGGGACCCTTTTATCTAACTCCTTACCTTCCAAACCTTTTATGGTGATTGAATTTGTGTTTAGGAAATGCTACCTGTGTGTGGACCTCATGTATCCCCCTGGCAATAGTATTTTAAATTAGCGCTTCCCTCCCTTTTGAAAAGAAGAGTACTTTTTTAACATTAAAAAAAAAATTATAAACCCTTAGGTGATAGTAGGTTGTGTGACAAAATATATAGAGCCCCAGACTACTAGGAAATCAGTAACACTTTATATTTTCTTAATTACAATAACATTTCTGTGCATTTGAAAAGTAGTGTGTATACTTAAAGCAGAAGACATAAAATTCTTGCCAAAAATCATACTTAAAGTGCATATGGATTCATGGACCCCTTGTAACGATTTGAGCTCCCAATGAGGTCCATGACACATAGTTTGGGAATCACTGCTCTAATACGTTATTTCTGTTATATTGTGTATTTCTGTTATATTGTGTAAAGGTATAATCTGATTCCCTTCCTCTTTTTCCTCCTTACTCTATTAATAACCCGTGAAAAACAAGATGGCAAAGATATTTTTTAATAGTTTTTCATTTCATTGATCAGCAATATTTGAGGTAATAGAAAAGGTTTTTTTTCCCCCATTTTCAACTTTATACTGGTAGAAGGTGATGATAGTTTAAACATTTATGTACAGGTATTTTTTTTCTCATTTTTTTTGTACATAAATTAGTGGGTTATTGTGGCAATATGAAGTAATTACAAAGGTGTTTTTCTTTTAAAATACTGTTATGGCTATTTAGTGATATAGATGTTCTCTGAGGATTTTCCTTCTTCAAAAATCTATTAGCTTGAAAAAGTGTATTGTCTCAGTTGATACTCAGAAACTTGCTGTTTAGATTAATCCAGAACGTTGTGGAAATTTTGAAGCAGTTTGACTCTTTTGTCGGGGAAAGTTTCCGTTTAAAAAGGAGTTTGAGAGTTTATGTAAAGAGGTATCTGGGATTTTGTAGGATGTACAAGAACCCGTGAATTTCCATTCCTTCTTGGTTATTTCTAGCATTGTCTGTTTTGTATTGTTCTTGACTGTGCTCTGAATTTGTATTGAATGTCATTGACAAAAGTGCAATGATCTTTTTAGATTTGTCACTGACACTTTCCTCAGCATCCTTTCAATAATAATCTGGGAATCCTTAAGAACTCGAAGAAAACACCATCGTTTTTTCATGTAACTGATTAATACTACGTTACCAAAGGGAATATTATTGTAATAATGGATTTTTTTTTTCATCCTTTCAGGGTTTGAAAGTATTCTTGAAGGGCTGTTTGGACCTGCGTTATTAAAAGATCTCAGTTTATTTAAAGGTATTCAAAATCTTTTTTTGGTATTTCAAAATCATCCTGGTGACATATGATAACCCTGGTGATTTAAGCCTCAGTCTCTTCCTTTTTGTTACAGTTCTTTGTGGGTTAAAGCTATATCCATGTAAGCATTTTTTTGTGTTAGTTGATAATGCAAATGTATATATGAATAAAGTATATTAACTAGTGAGCAGTAATTGTTAAGAATTTTAAAAGAAATAAGTAACCTATCGACTATTTAGTGAGGGGTTTTTATTGTTTAATACTTTTGAAATTGTCATTTGTTTCCTGACAAATTATCTTTTGTGATGATTAATTTGTTATTTTTACTATTTTTGCAGACTGTGAACCTGAAGGCATTTCTGATTGGACTTTTGATGAAAATTGTCTATTCTGTTGCTTGAGAAGAGATAAAGTAAAGGTAACCAAGAAACGCAATGAAACTTGTCTAGTGTGATATTTTATAGTTTTTAATTTTTCAATATTTGATTACTTTGTTAGAGTTGTAGGAAAAGGAAGGTATGAGTCTGTATTTGTTTATAAAGGATTTGATAGTAACTCAGTTTTGCGATTTAGACTGTTTCTACTCTGTTGATTAGCCTATTGAGAAATCTATATCCCAACATTCATTGCTTTACTTATGTAGATCATTAGGCATAATAATTAACTAGGTCTCAAACTGTTGTTTATTTTAAATATGAAATGTATGGTAATTCAAGTAATGGGAGTCATTTGTACAAAAAGAACAGTAACATGGATCTGGATCAAGTAGTTACTAAATCATGATGGACTGCGGTTTATGGTTTAATATAAGATGTTCATAATATTTGAGCATGAATGCTGTTTATATTCAGTTGCAGAAATTGGCTATACCTTTAGGTTTGTCATATTTTATTGCTCTGTGTTAAATATAAATAGAATTGGTTTAGACACATTTCAGTTGAAAACATTTATTAATAATGGTTTACTATCTTATATTTCTTTTTTTAAGATTTTATTGGGGAATTGAGGATGGGAACAGCGCTGTGGAATTGGGGGAAGGGGAACAGACAAGTTGCTGTCCTTTTGTTCTTCAGTCTAATTGTGGAGGACGTTGCTTCACTGGCCCAAGTTGGCACCATTGTTGCGCTCTTCCCGGGCAAGGCAGATCAATCGCCAGCTTCTGGACGGCCGCTCACGCTGGCTGCTGGCTACACACGGTAGCCCATGGCAACCCACTGCAGCAGGGGCTGCAGCCTACGCTGTTGCCGGCGACTCAGGGCAGCCCAGCTCCAGGTTGAGCTGTTGTTCAGCATCTTAGCTGTAGAGGGCAGTGTCACTGGCTCTCATATGTGGGATCCGAGCCGGGGCCCTCTGGCATCCCAAGCCAGTGCTTAACCATCGCGCCACTGGGCCGGCCCTGTCTTATGTTTCTTTTCATGGTACTTCTGTTCCCTGTTTTAAAGTTTTGGAAACATTTTTAATTCCTTCCTCTCCTTTGTACATGAACAACTTTAAATCATTGACCAGGTTCTATCAGTCCTTCACTCATATTGAATTTCATTCTTTTTCTTTCCACAGTCACCACGCTAGTTCTAGTTCACACTGTTGGCATTATTTCTGAACTACTAAAAATAACATAATAATCTCTCAGTTTTATTTGGTCTGTTTCATAGTCTTCTGGATTTATTAGCCTATAATGCTCAGTGCCTCAGTACCCTGTACGTTTCAGTCCATTTTACTTTCTAATGCTGTCCCACTAGTCCATACTTTTTTTTTCCAGCTAAACTGGTCTGATCATTTGTATTAAACAGTATGCTTTTATTACTTGGACTACAGCATTGCATACCCATTATTTTCTGTAACTTAAATTCCCTTGCTCTTACTTTTTTTTTTTTAAGAGATTTTATTGAGGAATTGGGGGAGGGGAATATCAATGGGGAATTGAAGGAAGGGGAACAAACAAGTTGCTGTCGTTTTTGTTCTTCAGTCTAGTTGTGGAGGACGTTGCTTCACTGGCCCATGTTGGTATTATCCTTGTGGTCTTCCCAGGTGAGGCAGATCGGTCGCTGGCCTCTGGACGGCCGTTCACGGCGGCTCTTGGCAGCTCACACCGGCTGCCAGTCTCACGGTGGCTGCCAGCCACACACAGTAGCTTATGGCAGCCCACTGCAGCAGAGGCTGCAGCCTACACCATCGCCGGCGACTCACGGCAGCCCAGCTCCAGGTTGAGCTATAGTTCACCATCTTAGCTGTAGAGGGCAATGTCACTGGCCCTCCTGTGGGATCCGAACCGGAGCCCTGCTGCTCAGAGCTGGCGTCCCAAACCAGCTCTTAACCACGTGCCACTCGGCCAACCCCCTTGCTCTTATTCTTAGTTCAAGCCCCTCCTTTCCTATAAATGGTATACCTCTGCTCTTACTGCCGTTTCAACCCTTCATACTTTGTAGTAAATATTATCTATACCAATTATTGTCAGTTAATAGTTTACCTTATTTTGTTCATCCATTTCTACATTTGAATCTTGTATTCCTGTCAACCACGGAAGACTGTGAACCATGTTGTATGCTTCTTTGTACCCTTGCATGTAGCTACTGTATCACTATTTACTATTGTTGGTAAGTTGCTTTAATTTCTTAAAGCCAGTTTAAGAACTTCTTAATGTTCTCTTTTTTTTAAGATTTTATTGGGGAATTGGGGGAGGTAACAGCATTGGGGAATAGACAAGTTGCTGTCATTTTGTTCTTCAGTCTAGTTGTGGAGGATGTCGCTTCACTTGCCCATGTTGGTATTGTGATTGTTTCACTCTTCCCTGCTGAGGCAGATCGGTTGCCAGCCATTGGATTGCTGCTTCACAGCAGCTCACGCCGGCTGCCAGCCACTCACGGTAGCTTACGGCAGCCCACTGCAGCCCCATTGCAGCCTACACCGTCGCCAGCAACTCACAGCAGTCCAGCTCCAGGTTGAGCTGTTGTTTACCATCTTAGCTGTAGAGGGCGCAGCATCACTGGCCCATGTGGGATCTGAACCAGCGACCCTGCTTCTCAGAACTCATGCTCCCAAGCCAACTCTTAACCAACGAGCCACTCGGCCGGCCCTTAATGTTCTTTTTCTGTGGCATCTTTTTCTTGCTTACTACATGAAAAGTCATTGCTGTGACTATACAAAGTGATCTGTTTCCATCAAATTAATGAGGAAAATGTTTTTGAAATTTAATGCAATTTGAAAAAGAGAGACCAGAAAATTAAGCAACCACCAATGCAGTTAAAGTTCATCATTTTAAACCGTGTGTGTGTGTGTGTGTGTGTGTGTGTGTGTGTGTGTGTGTGTGTTGGCGTTGGCATTGGCATTGGCATTTTGTGACTATTTATTGAGCAAGTCATTTAATAAGTGTTTTGGTAAAATAGAGGGAATGACTACTATTAATGACCTTTTTCAGAGTAGGATCTAAAGAAAAGCCCTTTTGTGTTCAATAATTGAATACAGTATATTCTTATAATATGATTGAGTTTTCCATTGCTGTAAGGGGCTAAAATATTGTATGAATATTTTTAGAAGAAAATACAGAAATAGCAAGGCATAGAATCATGTCGCATTTAAAACAGCTGTTCTCACTGTAGTTATAATTTTTAGTTGGTTTTCTAATTAGAAAGAATATTTCCATTTGACAGCACAGCTTTGGGAAAGCTGTTTTTCTCCATTAGACACTTAACTACTTATATTTGGCATTTAATTTTTTTCAGATACAGCCATAACATCTATAATGGAAAATAGGGAAAGAGAAAGTCTAGAAAATGTAAATTGTCAAGTATATATTTTCAGTTGTCTTAGATTTAAAGTGATTGTGCTGGAACTCTTTGCAGGCACTTGAAGCATCTCAATTGAGAAGGACTAGACTCTGGAAATTAAATATATCCACTGGGTTGAAGCTTGCATTCTTAAGACTGGCTTAAGATTCCAAAAAAGGAGTATGGTAACAGCCAATAGGTGGCAGCAGAGCATGATGGAATCTTGAGCTTGAGGTTGACATGGTGAGAAACCTTGATAATGTTTGGAAAAGCTGTTACAAATTTTGGTCTGATGTTTGGGGAGGAGATGGAGGTTATGCATGTTTTTTAGTTAATTGGATTTTCATTGCACATGGAAACTGTTAAAATGGATAAAATAAATACATTTATATTTACTTTTTAAAAATATGTAAGTGAAAAATATAAAATAGCCTCTTTGGAAGATAAAACAGGGATTCACCTATTTCGCATCTTGCATCCTGCACACATGGGCATGGGGCTAAAGGTCTCCAGCCTCAGGGCTCTTCGGGCCAATACAAATACACCGCTTTTATTTCTCCACATACCCAGAAGTAGCATTGTTCTCTCCAGTCTGAGCCTCATTCCTCAGAACTTGCTCAAGCCAGATTACCCATGCCTGCAAGCTGCTATTACCAAGAGTCCTGCCCATGGGCAATAAAACAGATGCTCTGCCTTCACACACCCTATACGCATATGACCCCAGGAAGATAAGATTATTATGCTGAAGACAGATCATCAGGTCACTTCCCAAGCAGGTTGAGGGAAAGAATGTAGCTACAGAGGTAGAAAACCTCCAGTCTCTTTTGGGGGCGGGTGAGGGCCCATGCCCACCTCCATCAGCCCCGAGATTTCTCCTGATGGCCCCCATGGGACTGTGCCTGGCTTAGGTTGTTCCTTCCTCAAGGAATCTGACCCGTCATTGACTAACCAGCCATCCTTTGGGGCCAAACAGGGAGACGCAAGGTGTATGAGCAGTGTCCTCAAAAGGGTCAGTTTAGGGTTTAAGCGTGGGGGGGAGGGGGGATGGGGACTACAGACGGCTGGACATCTGGACAGCTGCGTGGCAACAAACCTAGAGATTAGATTAGTAAAGCACTTGTTGATTTACACTTGAGGATCCTATAGCAGTTAGAAAATACAGTTGACCCTTGAACAACACAGGTTTTCACTTCAAGCTTCTGCTTACACACGGATTTTTTTTTTTCAATGAATACTTACTTGTACTGTTTTCAGTCTGTGGTTGGGAGTCTGCTGACTTGTTTGCATCAATCTGTGCCATTTTATATAGGGGGTTTGAGCATCTTCAGATTTTGGTATCTGCAGAGGTTCCTGGAACCAACCCCTGCGGATACCAAGGGACAATTTAAGTTTTGGGGTAGTCAAAAGTTGTGCGGATTTTTGACTGGATAGGAGGTTGGCGCCCCTAACCCTTGTGTTAGTCAAGGATCAACTGTATAACTTGTAAGGGAAAGTCAGCTAACATTTTATGAGATTCTAGTATGTGCTAGCTACTTTTGTTTGTTCCCATTTAATCCTCGCAACCTTATGAAGTTGGTTAGAGGCATCCAGTTTTACAAATAAAGAAATGAGAGAAAGGCCAGAGAGACTAAGTTAAGGGTAAAGTCAAATAACG